AAAGAGCAATCCCTAGAGTTTCTTGCTCGTTCTTCTCAGGGAGGTCAGCGTAGTGAACGAGCAGTAGCTTAAATGTGACGTTTTCAAGTGTAAATTTATTTTACCTATGGAATAAATAATCTTTGACTTTGACTTTGACTTTGATCGGACCATGTTTGTAGTCCATAGAGCACAAAATATAACGACAATACCAGTCAGTACAAGGGTTTGATCTCAAATTCTGAAATCTGATTTGCCTTCTACTTAAAACTATTTTACCTATAAGTAAAAAAAACAGAAGTCATACACTCTAAGTGTAATTATGCTATAACCAAAACTAGTTACTTTACATTTCGTACTAGGTAGAGACTGTCAAAAAAATAGCGCTCTACATGTAATTACAGCGAATAAATCTTTCAAGACGCGTTATGATCAATACAGAGATTATTGTTAATCATTTAGTATAAATTTACAAAGTAATACGTTTGTACGTTCGTATTGCCCGCACAACACGTTTCAGGTGCAAGTATTTTTAAAGTATAGTAATGATTAGCTTGTGTTTAGTAAACGAATACTGTAATATTGTAATAGTTATATCTTTTATTTGTAGTTATGCTTTTCATTTTTGTGGGGGCGGTAGAGGTGAAGAATGGTCGGGCGGCGCGGGCGGCGGAGACGTTTCGCATTCCTGACAATCGACGACATCTAGCGGCGCCACGGCGAAACTGACCCTGGACACTTACGGCACTACCAATTAGAATGTTGTTTGCAAGAGTAAACAAAATGTAAATTTTTTTTATTGTCTTAATAGATATTATTATTTAATTTGATCTCACATGTAAAAGAGAATCAGAGATATCGCAAATGCCTCCAGTTAAATTTAAAACAAAATAATATGAAACGTGGCAAACTTTTGAAATTTAGGACAGAAATGGAAACAACAAGAAATAATATTTAAAATTCTGTAAGTGTATAAGACCTAGTAAGCGATCGGCTCTTCACAAGGATGAAGCACTTATACAACAATAAGCCATCATGGGTGTAAAAACGGATAACTTCAGCATTTAACTAATAGGCACGAAGGTGCCAATGACGCACTGATGACACGATGGTGCGCGGTGCACAGAGATCTCCCACGCCGGTCAAGGCTGCCAGCCTCGTTCCAACATCAGACACGACATCCCGCAGATTGTTGCAAACCTTTCTATTATTTTTCATAAAGCCGTCTTTGTACAACTTCCGTACGCGAGGTGCGTATGCCATGGAACTATTTATTCTTCAGGCAATAAGATAGCGGACCCGTCTGTAATGCTAGAGTATTTTTGGTGGATTATTTCTTAATATTGATGTTATAACAAACCACATTATTATTTACAAAATGGCATAATAAAATGTCATAATGTCATACCGTAATACATAACATCATCTAGTCAATTGAGACCTCAGACGACTAGAGTGAAGATTAATACTATGTTTTGTCAAACTTATCTAAGGAGACAGATCCGCTGAACATGTGTCGTAAAAGCTCATGCCTGCTGAATGATTGCTGGTTATATCACCATAACGACGAGTCAAATAGTGTTACGACAAAAACTGGTCAGAGTCATCGCTTTTACGCTATACTACATTTAGTTGGAGTTATTTACATTGAATTACTCGTATATCGTCTTTTTATAATTTAGATATTCTGTGTTCGGAATATTTATTACTTTGGTTTTACGATGTGGTATCTGAGTTTGAGACTGGCCACGGACCGTGAGGAACTGAGGGGGTTGCATCGACAACAGCGGGACTTTTCAATCGGACGATGATCTGAGTTCACACTGTACCTAGTAGTAATTCCTAGTTAAAAAAAATATTTTTTTGTGTCATAATCTAAGTTTACTTTCCGATCAAGACGTTTATAATGTACTTAGATATTAAGTAAAACAATCCTGTGACACATTACATATAAATCCAAAAAAGTATTTCTCTTAGTCTTAATTTGTAGCTGTCCACTGCCAAACTAAGTACTGCTGCTCGCGGGTTGCAATATAATGAATGAAGTCAGTAGATCCCATTGCGGTACAATGTCATGTGTGCGAGTAGGTATATAATTCGTGTCAAGTGCATCAATTGGTGGCTCATCAGCCGCGCCGGTCACCGGGACGCGACCCGGCGCGGGCGCACCGCGGCCGCAGTTCCACCTCGCCTCTCTCATTTCTTTATTAAATTGTCGTAATGTTGAGTCATTTCCTTGTATGTGAAGTGAGAAACTCTAGTTTTATATTTCTTTATTTGGCTTATGAGTGTTGAATGAGGATATCGCGTTGGTGGTCGGCGGGAGCGGCGACGGTGAACGGCACCGATGTTATGCTACCAGTTTCGCGTGGTAACCGCAACGGCCACTCTGTGGCGCCCCCATAACACTCCTTACCCACCGTTACCTCCTCTTTTGACATATTCATTCTCAAATACCTACAGATAACATCCGAAGTGAGAGCCGTTTCTTTTGTGTAAAATGACTAAATAAACTTCGGAAATTAATTTAGGTGAATTAAAACAAAAAAAATCTAATTTTATGAAAACTATTTTATTACCGGCAAATAGCTCAGTTCTTTTTGGTGTTACTGCATCAATCTGGTTTAGTTCAATTACGTTTCGGCTGTGGTAGCTCAACAACTATCTATAGACAATTAATTAGTTTTTGAATTTTTTACTAAGTACAGAACTAAAGGCGACCAACAAATGTAGAGTCAACAATCGATCTAGTTTATCAACACCTCCAGCGCTCACCTACACGCATGAAATAAAAAAGGAATGTCACAGAAAAACGTAGCGAAGGGCAAGATAGTGGTCGCGCACACCGGGACCGCTCGCGGCGCTACCAAAACCGTGGGGCCTATAAATTTAATGCTACATGCCTGCTGATAAAGGTGGCCTCGCCGCCGCCGCACCTGCCGCAACCCGCCGCTTTAAAAACATATTTTACGGCGAATCGCAGAAAAACTGGCAACTAACCTCTCCTACTCGCTCGTTAGTGCCAAAGTTTCTTTCGACCCTGTGCCTATTTAGAGCTTGGTGATATGTTATAGATGTTTACCCCTAAAGGTTGGTATTCTGTTTTTACAATTGCCAAAACTTTGTATCGTCTATTGTTGGTATTATTTTTTGAAATACATAGATGTCTATGTATTTGAATAGATTATTGTTGTTTTATAGGCAGGTATGGTTAGCAAGCAGAAAGGTTTCAGTGGTGGTGTCGCGACGCGGTCGATGTGTTGCAATGGAACTGAAATAATAATCGTTGCTGGACGATTGCTCTGCCTAAATAACAGACACGAAACACGGCCAAAAAACCGTACTGGGATATTGTTTAGTAATTTGCATGCCGGCACTGCTATGCAAATGAGTCGCCAGAAATATTTGACGGGACAAACAAACACTACGTTTTACGTGGTTCTTTGTGGTTGGTCGTTTTACGTTGTACTGCAGTTTTTATAAAAACAATCACTTAGCACGCGATCAAATAGACCGTCTTTTACGGGTTGATCCTCAGCGAAAAAATAAAGGGCATTATTTCAATTCTGTTCATTTTGGGGTCGATATGTATATTATTTCGGATCTATTTTCCGAAACTAGATTTGTATCCGAAAGCAGATATTGCGGACTCGAGTTTTTGTGCGCTTCACACCGTTTCACAACGTACTCGTACGTAGAACGCTTCATTAGCCAGTTGGAATGTCATTGTGTCCATCAACGGTTGTTTACTGGCCGCGGCGGCACGGAAACTTTTTGCGCCTTCTCCACATGAACAACTACATAATGTACGACGCACATAAAATGCTACATTGACGTGCTAAACGTTTCAAACTACTCCTATACATTTTTTAACCTTTCTCGCGGACAGGAGAAAGTCAATAGACGAATTCAGTTTAATAAAAAAACACTGTTTACTTGTAGCAACGCGTGAAGTAACAAATTCACCCCGAACATATTACTAAACGACATATTTTGCCAAATAATAAATAAATAATTTGTTATCTTCTCGTAAGTATATCCACTAGTGAGTATAGATTAACGGAGCAATTAATCTTTGAACGTTGATTTTTATAGTTGCTTCAAAGAAGGTACTATTTTTGTATAATATTTGTTTTTCTTTCAACCGCACAACATACGTACAACACTCAAAATTAATATACAAAATAAAGTTTCAGTAACGTAAGCTGAATTGAGAGAAAAGGTATTTGTAATAGCCCGCGACACACGACCAGCTTGCTTAATTATTGTAAATGCCAAACTTGATAAGAACGAACACAGTAACTTGTAGTTTTGAAGACTATGGAAACCGGTTCTGAGCTTGACATGATACTGCTAAAATGCTATTAAGGATAATAAAGGAACACAAAATTATACCTAACACTTATTATTACAGCGAAACATGTACAAATAAAATATATACGTTCAGTACTTTGTATTAGACAATTAATGGTCTTTACTAAATATCTACAAAAGGTTCATCAAAATAGAAGAAGTTTGAGCTGATATTTTATTCTCTACGAGCCCGTGACAGCGAACAACAAAACAAAGCAGGCACGCGAAACAACATGTGTCACCTTTATAGTTGATCATATTATGAACATTTTGGGTGCAGAGGCACCTCGCGGGCGCGGGCTCTCGCGAGTGTCGGGTGCCTACCTGCCGCTGTCTTCATAAATAAAACGAATAACTCCGAACTAAGCCGAAATATCCCTTTAGTTGCGTACACTATCGCCTACCGACGACCGGGAATCGTGGAAAATAATACGTAATCATTATAACTCAGGTCATTTTATTAAATACTTAACAATAATGTGTATAAAGAAGATCTTTTTGACTGGCTAACTGATTTGTTACCGGAACACATAACTATGCATAACCTAACGAGCACACAGGCCTTCACTTAAAAAGATTTGAGCTCTCCTGCTTGCCACATGTCGTACCTACGCTTAATGTAGTTTAACAAACAAAGTAGAAATCAATCAATCAATTCAAAACATAAAATTAAGTTTAAATGGTATTTAAATAACAACGAACTAAGTAAATGCTCTATATAATCCATAGTACCCATTCCAAGTAACTTTTGGATGAAATAAGAATCGTTAATTTATAATATTTAGAATAAAATTAGGCATTTCGTTGTTGCAGCGGCTAGGACAATTCAATAAAAGGCATTTCCATAATTCAATTTCTATAAAGAACTTTTTTAATATATATCATCATATACGTCGTAGGTACATTATTTTATATAGAAAAAATACCTATTTTTACAAGTATTAAGTACCAAGGTTGGCCACAAATACATACAAACGAAAAAACAACAAAACAAGTAAAAAACAGGAATAAAACCATTTTGGCATCGTGTCTGCATTGATTTTTAATAATATTTTCAATAAATTATGCGCGGACCTAGACGGGAGTGGCGCGGGGCGGTCGACGCCAACTGCGCCGCCGCCGCTCGCCGCTTCTGAGCCGACGACGCCACCCTAAGCTACCGTTGTTGTTCCAAACCATCCATTTGCCAAACAAGTTCAATGATACATATGACATGTTGCTTTTTAAAAGCTTGAACAAAACTGCACTTGTCACATAACTATGTTGCTAGTCTCTCTTACACCTATGTATTTCGTAGTGTTTGTCTTATTTCTAATATGGTGAGTCTGGAACAACTCGAGTAAATGTCGAGTCAGATCACGCCTCGCTTCTGCTCTAGCGCTCGATTGGTTTATTGAATCACTTAAAATAAAAGTAAATTGCACCTATTGACTCACTCGTATTCCCTGACAAAACAAAGCTTCGACCCGATTCATATTTTTTACTCTCCTCGTCGTCTTCTTCAGCACTAATCATAAATGTACAGTGATAGCAACAATTTAAATTTAATCCACACCACAATGACTCCCTACTGACAGGTAGGCATGTATGAACGTCGTTAATTTATAATATCTATAAATAAATTCGATGAAATCGTCCTTTACAAAAATGAATGGCGCTCCGCACTCCTCGCCGGCAGGGCCGCGGGACCGCAGGGGAACTAATGCCACTGAACAAAACTAGAAATGCTGGTGTGTGTAGTGTCACCGTACTCACCGGTCGACGCTCGAGGGTGCGGGGCCTCGCCGCGGCCGCCGGCGAGGGTACGAGCGCCACCCGCGCCGGGCTCTTCCTCCGAGATAAGCTCTTATTTATCAATTAGACTATCTAGCTAAACAGTGTCGGCGATCACTTTGAACCTCGGCGCCTCGACAGTTACAAACGATTACTGGCTTCGATCTTAATATTACTCACATAATTAAATGACTTCACTGTGACCTGGCGGTCGCGCGACGAAATTATAAAGAACAACCTAAACTTAAACGGGAGGTCCGTAGGACGGGGCCGACGCCGAATGTATGTACAGTGCGTCGGCCCGTCCGTCACTCGGCGCCGCGGCACGTCCCGGCGGCGGCGCCTATGTACACGCTATGTACAGGGCTCGGGGCCAGAGGATCCCGCGGGCGGGCGCAGTGCGGCTAGTGCGGCTCCGCATAGTAGGGCCGCGGCGGCGCCCACGGGGCGAACTGTTAGTGCGCGGCCAGCGTGTGCGCGCCCTGCTGCAGCGCGTGCTGGGGCGACAGGCCGGGCGGCGAGTGCGAGTGCTGCAGCGGGCTGCCGTGCACGTCGCCGTGCCCGTAGTGCGCGTGGCCCATGCCCTCCATCATCTCGCCTCCGAGCGTGTTGGGCGGCGTCATGCGCTTCTCCTTCTGCCGTCGGTTGCAGAACCATACGCGCACTACCTCCTTCTCCAGCTGCAGGCTGTCCGCCAACGACGTGATCTCCTGCGCCGAGGGTTTCGGCTGTTTGTGAAAATGCTGCTCGAGAGCTCCCTTCACGGACACCTCTATGGACGTGCGCTTCTTTCGTTTCCGACCTTGTGCTGCGATTTTGTCGATACTGGTCGGGCTTCCCGTCGTCGAATCGGCTTCCTCGAGCCACTTCTGAAGGAGAGGTTTCAGTTTGCACATGTTTTTGAAACTAAGCTGCAGCGCCTCGAATCGGCAAATAGTCGTCTGCGAAAACACATTTCCGTACAGAGTCCCTAGGGCCAGGCCGACGTCGGCCTGCGTGAAACCGAGCTTGATTCTCCTCTGCTTGAACTGTTTGGCGAAGGCCTCGAGGTCGTCACTCGTGGGCGTGTCCTCCTCGGGCTGGTCGCGCTCGAGCGCGTGGTGGTGGTGCAGCGGGTGCGGCGAGGGCTGCACGTCCCGCAGCATGTGGTGCTGGTGCATGGGCATCGGGTAGCCGCTGTGCAGCGCCACGGGCGAGCTGGCGCCGTAGTGCGGGCTGACCACGGGCGCGTGCCAGCCGTGCGCGCTGTGCTGCAGGTGGCGGTGCTCGTGCGGCGCCGGAGGAGGCTTCACGTCGGGCTGGTGCGCGTGCGCGTGATGCTGGTGCATGGCCCACGGGTCGGCCGGCGGGAGCGAGGCCCACGGGTTGCCGAGCACCGGGGCTCCGGGGGACGGCGACCCGCCGGCCTGCAGGTGGTGCTGGTACTTCATGTCAGCGGGTTCGACGCTCCTCGGCGACGCAGCGTGGTAGCCGCCGAGGTTCCCTATATCCAGCTCCCCCCCGGGCATGTACGTGGTCGCCGCCATGGCGCCGTACCTTAGATCCACGGTGGACGGCGTCTTGCCGGCTCGAAGGCTCTCGAGCCTTCTACTGGCTTCGTACTTCGCGAAAAAAGCGCGTATATCGCGCGGCGCTGCGGCAGCGGCGGGGGCCACCTCACATCACCGGGAGCGAGTTCGAGCGACATGCGCGTGCGTGCGCGACGGCAGCACTGAGCGGACTGTGGGGCGCCGCGCCGCCGCGCGCCACGCGCACGGGAGAGGGGCCGTGCCGCCCCACGGCCGCCGCCCGCCCCCCGCCTCACCCCCTCGGCGCTCGGCTCGGGCGGCGCGCGGAGGCCCCGCCCCCTCGGCCCGCTAATGACGATGTAATTACCGCGCCCCACCCCGCGGCCCCCGCTCGCCGCTCCGCCTCGCTCCACGAAAACTGCGTCTGGCCGCGACTCGGCGACGGCGAGCGCCTCCGCGCTGCGCGGACGCCTGACGCCGGCGGGCGGCTCGGTGCGGCCGACGAGATCAGTCTCCGTGTTCCGAACATTCCTACGAAAACAATACGCTCAGTTCATCAATTAACCATTTGGCGTTCATCGCTTTCTTAATTCGGCACCTGCTTGACAAAAGAGAGTAAAACAAACATTATTATGCAGTGTAGGTATACCTAATATTTGACATTTTCACGGTCACTATTACAATGCAGGTGCGCGGTGGACAACCCATAAAATTAATACAAGTATAGCAATATACGTATAACGTAACGAAAAATATTTACTGACATTTGCCGAATTTCAAATTCAATTTGAACGCAAACTAAGCAAATTAACATTTTTACTTATTGATTCACAATTAATTATAAGCACTGTATTTAGGCTATTTGTTAACAAATAATGTAAATTTATTTCATTTCTTCCACACGCAGAACTTTCGTACGTAACTTAACTGACCGGAACCTATAGATAAACCTACATCTAACAAACTACCCATCGAATATAAACGGTTTTTTGAGAGTATCTACTCACTTAGTTTTCTAATTATATAACACAGGTGTAGGCAGATATTATGGAGTTCCACCTGCTACGCTCCTGGCATACCTCTTTCTCTTCCTTCTTGAGCTTTATTATTAACCGTGCCTATAGTAAATATTTCGACTAAAATAAGTAATAAACCGTTTAAAATCGCAACAAAAAACAAAAAAATTATAATAACATTACTTTGAGTGAGCAACGATAGATGTAGAGCTAAACACACTGCTCGCGCCATCTCGTGTCGGATAGACGCACTACACACCACCGACTGTTAGATAGTACTTCACAAAAACTCGACGAATATTTTTAAATTAGAATGGGATCCGAAGAATATTTTAAAACTGAACTACATTGTAAAACACGAATGATTTTTCTAATTCACGTTTAAAAATTCTTATATTTATGTATATTTGGAACTTTACAATTTTATTGTTTCCTACATATGTGTCATTCAATAAGTGCTATTAATTGTATAATTCATACGGATAATTACACATCAAATGAGACTTTTCGACCTAATCAGAGTAAGTGGCTAAGGTCTTTTAAGAACAACAAACTATTTCGTTGGTCATATAATTAAAAACATGCAGAGCGCCACCTGGTGTCCCGTAGCATAACGCATAAGCGCGCCCCGTGTCCAAAATGTACGGAGGTTCATAACAGCGAGCGCTACCGACTCGAGTGCTAAAAGGTAATTCAAGCTATGCTACACCTAAAGTGTCAGTATCTAACATATGCAACATATTTAACTCTTACAAGACCTTGCAAGCACTTGTCCTTTAAAATAACAAAGGTATTCGTAGTTTAAGTTACGAATCTGATTGAAATTTCTTATAAATATGGTCTTGACACGTATACACACTGTAGCGATATTTTTTACCAAAGTAAATAGTTTTGCGAAAAGTTCCTTTAAGTTTAAAGTTCAAATGACGTAACAGATAAGAGTTATAACATAAATGGTTATGAAACCGAGTTTTAGTCGCATAAATATTCACCTAAATTTTGATTAGGTACAACATGTATCTGGTCGAAGTATAACTCATGTGGATCCAAACATATCGACAATATGGCAATGGCGACGGCAAGGACACACAAGCAATTGCGTTTGGTCTTTCGACTACGACCTTCACCAAGGGTAGCACAGTTCAAATTTTAAACAACACTTAAATTTCGTAGTGCTTTAGAATTGGAAGTGTAGTCTGGAACCCTCTTGATGAACAGCCATCAAGACGTAGATCACGGAGTAGAACAAGTCCAAAAGAATTCTTAGAGCCCTGGAATACCTTTTTCAGGCGATCTTGTTGTTCATTAGAAGTGTGTTTCAAGTTTTTAGATAAGGTTGACATAATATGTTGGCGATTATTATAAAGTCGTTCAAGAAAAAAGTGCACGATTGATAATTGTAATGGCTTTTATGCATATTTACTTTTTCATTTGGTATCGCACGAGTCAATATTTAACGCTCTATCGTCTCATAAGTACCTACGTTAATTCGATTTTAGGAATATTGTCATCTTCATTAATTTTTCGCATGTGAATTGTAAACTCTACCTTGAATTACGAGTCAGACTGCGCCTAGTCTATGAGCCAGTGTAACCGGTTTTGGAAATTGCCTAAAAGTACAGGTCTTAAACTTACGTACCAACGCTACGATCTGTAAAACAATATATCTCACTTGTGTGTCTCTTCTTACCCGAAATTAAACTGCATTTGATTTTAAGTACAAAATAAATTACTTACTATATGACTGTTCATTATCTGAGTACATAAATAAAAAATATATCTATAGTATAGTTATATATAAATAGCACCTGTATTTTTGTTGTATTGTGGTGAGAAATAAAAAATTTTAATATTATTATTAAGTTAATGAGCATTAAATTATAAGTATATAACTACTAACCATACTACGCACATAGGTAATGACATTTTCGTAACACTTAGTAAGTACCTACTCGACAAAAAACAAACTACTAATAAGACTCTCCACTGATGCAACACTAGTGTAAAAAAGTCCAACATCAACCTGCTTGGACAATTCATTGAAGCTGGACAAATCTTGGACACGAGTTCCGGGGCGTCCACGGCACCAGAAGCAATTTTTCGCAAAAATATTAGGACTGCTATCTGCTTATAGTTTTGATATTTCAGAGTCGAATAACATTTTAAAAGAAACATGTCTATCGTCGCCCTCATGTTACGAGTACCTATGCTAATGCTAACAGAGCGGTGGGAGCGCAGTGGCCAAACGTGTGCTTCTCAATGGAGAGGTCGACTGTTTGACTTCCTGTCGTGACTGTTCGTGTGGTGTACGACTTTAATATCTAGATTACATAACTACGTTTGTTAGCAACACCCCTCGCTAAAGGCGAAGGAAAACATCGCGGTGAAATCTTCACACCGAGGACGGACCGCGGTCTCGTAGCACAGTAGACGTACGTACCTACTACCTAACCACTTTTGGGGTAAAATGACGGGCTTGGGCTTTCACCCTCTCCGTAGAGGGGCCCGTGCCCAGTAGTGAGACTCAGGGATTGGTGATGATGATATATACAAATAATTGGTTAATGTAATTGGATGTTTTGCGGTACCATAATCAGGAAATGAAATTGTATCAGCACATTTTCAATATTTTACTGATACACATTTAAAACTGTAAGCTTTTTCCAATAGTAAAAAAATCGTTACGAACGACTTCAGGCGCAGCCGAAATCAGCCCGTCAGCGGCCGAAGCCGTCGCGCGAACAGGCCCCGGCGGGGAGACAAGTCGTACAGTAAATCTCCACACCGTTGGTTCATTCCACGAGCGAGAAATTGAGACAATTGTTTGTTTTAGAATTCACGAATGTTTCTGTGTAAGCCAATTAATTAATTCTATTACACCGAGAAAAGATTTTTTGTTTTCAAGGACACTTTCATTTATTCGCTAAAGCTGATGTAGGTAAGTACACTGATGATAATACATAATTTAAGAAAAGACAATGTTCATAGCAACAGACCACATAAATATACTTTTCTTTCTTCCGTGTCCAAATATTAATAACGAGTTACAGTACATTCAAGGTAGAGTCTTAAAATTGAAGATTATTTATCCTTTTCTAGTGAGTTGCGTTAATATGTAAGTTACAACAATTAAATCAATGACCAGTTTGCGTGTGCCTCCTCTGATATTGACCTTTCATGTTAAATCTTTTAAATTTGTTTTTCACTTTTATAGGCTTTTTATCTGTTATTTCATTTATAAGATTTTTTGGTAAGCTATTTAATATCACAGGAAGTTCACACATCTAAACTCTTTTACCATAATTATTGTTATATTTAGGTATATCATACATAGGTAGATGTGATAGTGTACGTAATGAATTCGGTCTAATTTTAACCTTTAACGACTTTATTTTTCCACAATTTTTGGTTATGATTGCTAATTTAACTTTATCAAAGACATTCATTACGTTACAGTACTGAAATAGTTGGTAATAATTATCTTTAGATTTATATCTAATTCTAGGAGGTCCAATGGTCTTAAGCAATCTTATTTGAAGGCTATAAATATTCTGTACATAGCTCGAAATATAATAATTAATTATAGAGTCAGCCAGTGCCAAATATAACATTCTCAACGTATTACATGGTAGTTTTTGTTTGACTATACATAACTTGGAAAGTACCGCCCTAAGCTTATACATACATGTTCAACATGTGGGCCCCAGTTAAGTTTATGGTCAATTTTTAGTCCGAGATACATATGCTCCTTTACCAATTCTAATGGTTTACAATGACAGTTTATAGACTGATGATGCATGCAATTGTGATCGTGAGCTACAACTTGCGGTAAATGTCTACATTTTAAGTATGGTGACTGTATATGTAAGAGTTTGGTTTTTTGAAAATTAATAGACAGACCCACATCATGTGCCCATTGACACAGTTTATCAAATTCTTGCTGCATCATGTGTTGGGCGACTTTTAAATCTTTGTGCGCGGTTAACAAACAAGCGTATGTTCATAGCGTATGATTATTAAATATGTTTCTATTATTTTTCTATTAATTAATAATAAATATTAAAAGGACGTTAGGCCAGACAGTACAATGGAAAGCTGTTATAACCGACGGAGAGCTAACTCGGTTTTGCGAACAAATATCTTACATTTTAATGAATGTAAAATGTTCAGAAAAGTGTGCAACTTATGACTATTGTCATAATTGTTCCCTATTATTTAGTTAAAATTGAACAAACATTTTTATTACATTTCAAATCTCTTTCGTTTGGGAGGCAAAACGCTACATTTTTGGCAATAGGCCCTTTTCCAATACTTTCCAAAATCCTTGCAATTGCGGTCCTATCCATATCCGTATCCGCTTTCCCGATACCTGACATGATGGTGTGAAGGTGGGTGTATGTAAAAATTGGGCCATAAGGTGTACCCCTGTGCCTAATTTGAAGTTCCTATGCGTTAGGTGATTCGTATTTATTTATTGTTTGCGTACGTACTAATAACATAATATTTTCTAACCTTCGTTTCTTCATTACAATACTGCAATATTTTTATTTAAAAAATATTGAATAATATTAAAATATGTGCGAGCACGAGGCGCAGGCGCGGCGATCGTTTCGAGGGTGTTTTCAATTTGCGGCGCGCGGCAGATCGATTCGCTGCGCCCGCGCAGCCTCCGCGCTCGTCGTCGCTGATACCATCGCCGCTCTCCGCGGCTACAACACTTGCAATGCAATTTTGCATTTTACGAAAACCGCCTCTACAAAGTATTTTTCTATAAAGACGCACTCGTTAGGTAATAGGTGGCTACTACTAAAACCGACCTCAAATAAGTCGCTTATATTTGTCGAATCGTTATACACCTATATCATTTTTCAAAATTTTATAAATAAATGTGGGACTTGTAGCCTCTTGAAAACCATCGCAATCTGTTACTTAGATGTATGTGGCTCTAACATTGTGGAGTTGAGTTTGTGGGACTTCGCTCTCTTTGCAAAGTTCATTAAATAACCAAAATACCTAGAAGTTACGAAAAGTTTGAATGTAATTTTAAGTAATTGTGAGACACGTTTCATTGGCGAAACAGAAGAACGAGTGCAACGTACAGGTATACGCTAAGTAACGTAAAAGGTTAGTATTCGGTTAAAATATCTTCAACCATCCTTTCTTCTAAATATAGGACCCCTACTTGAGCATGATAATAGATAGGTCCGCTGTCGTCAGCCACCTGGCTGTCGGCGCCCGCGCAACCGCCACCGGCCATTTGCATCCTAATCAGTGATCATACTTATCATTATCACTATGGTGGTCCGTCTCACCGCTATTTTCACTATTCACGAATTAGAACAGTTTCCCAAAGTGATCTCTACCCTGTGGGTGCTTACCCCGGAAGAAATTGGAAATTGGAGGCGTTGAAGAAAATCCTGAATTATATATATTAGCTACACTACATATCGTCGCTTAAATGCTAAATCGCCGCGTCACAAAAAATTCCAAAAATGTTTTTATTGTAAAAATGTGTTTAAAAAACGATCAAACTTTAATACTACTCGAAGGCACCTCGCGATCGAACTTTTGAGCTAAACAGTCCTTTTGTGAGTTGTGCTGTAAATTTATAGAGCCTTAAACTACGCATCTTTTGAGTATAAATACATGGGTATTTAAAAATAAAAAAATATTAAAATGTTAAAAAATGAGGTCGAAAAGTTTGATCGCCTCTCCTGTACAAAAGTTAACTTTTGACACGCGGATGTTTAGCATTTAAGCGACGATATTATATAATTGTTTTCCTTGTGATGTTTTGTGTTAAATTAAAAAGTACGTGTTTTCAATGACTTCTTGTGGTGCTGGACGTCGAAATTGTTTTATCTTGCCTGAGTGGGCGGTGCGCCAAACAGTTTGGGGACCTGTGAATTAGAACGTAGGCACATTAGTTATATAAGTATTGTTGAGTTGTACCGACTAAATTGTGCTGAGAACTTACATCACTCCTTTATCATCATCAGATAAGACAACGTGATCTTGGAAGACATAAAAACGAATGTTGTGTTTGACAAACAAAAATATCTAAAAACGTTATATGTACCTAGTAACTATTAAATTATACGTGGGCTCACGTCGCGAAATTGAAGAATATGTTGCACTCAGCGAACACGTTACATCCGCGACTGGCAGGATCGTGTGAGGTCGCGCCGGGCCCGAGGCGGCCGCGGCGGCGAATTGATTCGCCGGCATATCGGGGGAGGTCACTCTGCACTATGCTTTGTTGTTCTTTGTATTATCAATACAACTGAAAATGCTGTAGTTGCGACCTGTAACTTGTAACAACGAGATCTTGGCAAAGCAGCTGTGACGTACTGCGCAGACCCCGCCGCGGCGGTGCGGTGCCACGCGAGCGCGGGCGACATTCCTGCGCCACCGCCGCGCCGTAGGGTGGACACGCCCGTGCACCTCCTACGACATTTCTTACTTGCAAGTCATCTAATATTTTGTACTATATTATCAATGCATCACAATGCACATCTTAAAATAATGGAAACAACCAATATTTCGTCATTGAAGTATTGTTCCATACGAGTGTTTCAATGTGTAAATTAAACATGGACGCTATTTGTTTATCGACAATCTGTCTGTCTAAAGCGTAGTCCATAACAGACTTGTCCTCCCTTAACCACCGCTAAAACTCAAATCGTCACGCACGACAACTGAACAGGGTTTGCATCGCCAATAGATGGGGCTGGAGACATATTTGGCACTATAAGCCTTATATTAGCCTATATATGCTCCTACGATAGGCAATTCCGACATAGTACCTACCTACGTGTGATAGTAGATAGTAATATAGTGGGCGACAATAAGCCAACACCTGTCGTACAGCAGCCAGCTACTCTCACCTGACCAACTACACCAGTACTACTGGAGAATTATTTTCAAATTCATATAAGTGGCGAACCTAATGCAACCTTAACGCTTTCGGTTTTTTATTTTTAAAAATTATGACACATGGATAAAATAGTGGCCTTCGCCGTCGGTATGTCACACTCACTTTCTAACTATAATAACATCCATTCATCCAGCTGTTTAGTACCGGTAGAGCTTCTTGTGAAAGAGTTTGTCCAAGGAAGTACTGCCACTTTACCTATTTCTCCCGCCAAGCAGTAATTAATGTGAGCATTACTACGTTCCGGCTTTGAAGGGTAAAAGTGCTGTAGAATTATTTTTGTGATACTTTTTGTTTTTATGATCAAGTGACGGGACGAATAAGTTGTGCGCTTGGTGGTAAGCGACATGCCTGTCCATAACAGTCGCAGTGCAGCAACTAGAGCGTAAACTCTCAAAGATCTGAAGACATAAGTTCACGTGTCCCATATGCCCGTAATTTCAATAAGCGTAAGGATGCTGGTGAAATTACATGGGACTTGTGAATTTATAACTCAGGGCCGCCGGCGCCGTGGCAGTGCCCTTCAGATCTTTGCGATTTAAAGCTCTGAGTGGCACTGCAACTGTTATAGATACTAAGACGTGTCGCTTACTACCAGGCGCACGACTCGTTCGTCCCGTCACTTGATATTATAAAAAAAACTTAGATCCATAAAAAGTGTTAAGAAACAAAATTAAATTTAAAAGTCTTAAAAACTTTTAGTGTTAGTACAATATAAAAATGCAAATGAAAAATAAAAATCTAATAATAATAATGTACCAACGGTTCGGAAACATGTTGGTGCTGGCGCGCAGGCTGGCCTCCAGTGAGCGCAACTCTTACCCATCATGGCCGCGACACCGTCAGTCCACGCGTCGGCGAACAACTTCCGGAACGCATTATTATATTGCACGCGAATCTCGTTGTACGCCCTCTGCGCGTAGTCCGCCCACAGGCCACATGAGTAAAAAGAGACGCAGTGCGCTTTGAAAAGTAATTTTGACATCCCTCGCACACCAACATGTTGCATCGATCGGCCAACAACCACCGCATGCTAAATACAAAAACCTTGTAACTGTTTTCAAAGGAGCACTTGAGAGGGTGAGTGGAGGTGCGGTATAGGTTTTGGTACCTGCCTTGAAAACTATCAACCCACTTTTACTAACGTTGTATGGGCCACCGCGTAACGTTCATGAATGTACAAAAGACGCGTGAGAGCACCGATTGAAGGGCTCGGCAACATCGTTTCGTTTGCGTAGCTGATATTATTCACGCAAGCGCTATCAACATGGCATCCGGCGTTGGTACTGCTGAACTCCTCAATAAGTCCATCTATGTAAAAATTAAAGAGTCGCGGGTACACTCGATTTGTAAATTAATTTGTTGCCATCAACGTTGTCCATACAACGATCCACATCCGGGCGGTCCTTTATGAAAATTCACATCTTTCACTAGAAGAGTATAATCAACTCGAATTTAATATAATTATGTCCTGTGTTAAATGCCATGTAAATATTTTTTTATTATATTTTTACCATTATATGATTTGGGTGGTTAGTAGTAATTCATTTAATAGAGAATTATATATTATGGTAAGGATGGAATA